CCGTGAAAATTGATTCCAAAACAACAACCAAACATCTTACTCAAACGCACGTGTAGAAACACGTTTACAAATCACAACCAAGCAGAGCCTAAAAGTTTTGAGTATGTTTGGTTTGGTTTGGTTTGGTTTGGTTTTAGAAGAATAATTTTTAAAAATTATTTTGGGAGAGAGAGTTTAGAAAAATTTTTGGTTTGTTTGGTTGTGTATTTTAAAAGTAGTTTTAGAGTTTGAGAGTTTGAAATGATTTGATATTTTGTTATAATTGAGTAGATGTGTGTGAGAGAAAAAGTGATTGAGAAAGAAAGAGAAGAGATAAAAAGTGATTGATTGATAAGTAAGAGAGAGAAAGTGATTTTAGAAATTGTTTTGAAAAATTTACAAACCAAACAAATTTTTTTCTCAAAATCACTCTACAAATTCAAACCAAACATACTCATTTTCTTTCTATTTTTTTTTTATATATTTTCATAAAAAATTAAAAAGTCATTTCAAATATACTAAATTTTTTTTTATTTTATATTTTAATTAAAAAATTAAAAAACTATTAAAATAATCTGTTCTCAAAATAATTTCTTATTTGAAAAAATGTTTTAGGGCCTCCCCAATTTATATTTCAAATTTTGATATATCGAACAAAATTAAAGGTTGTCAAGGCATTTATAAGTTCCATTTATAAGTCAATTGGCTTCTAACCGCGTTTGCGGTGCACTGAGTTGAAGGTTTTGAATTTGCACGGATGGATCAGTCACGTCTCTTTTAAATTATAACATTTTTTTATTAATATTTTATTTTTGACCAAAAAAAATATTAATAATAAAATAAAATTGAAGGTTTGGAGCACCTTCACCCGAAATGTTAAATCTAAGAGCTAGGTTAGAGATTTAAAAATTTTACCAAATATTTTTTTATAGGTGTGAGATTCACATAGGATTTATATGATATGAGTCTTACAATCATGTGAGACATTTAGTGAAAAATTTGATAAAAATTTTAAACTCTGTTTAGTAGAGCTCTTTAAACTTAATTCTACCATTACATTTGAGTGTGATGTTTGTTTACGGTTTTCAAAACATAATTCCACACATACTTTTGAAAACTCTGTCCAATGTGGGAAAATTTGGGCTAACCGGTCATCCTCCTGAACATCCGGCCGATTGAACGGAACAGTGCAATTTTTTTTTTTTTACAAATGCCACATGTTATTTTTTATATTTTAAATAAAAAAATTTCAGAAATTTTTAAATTTTTTTATGAGTTTTGAATAGAATTTTGAGTTGTGTGTTTAGTTATGCGTTGCAAGTTTTTATATCAAATATCATATGTCACATTAAAAAATTTTCACACAATTCAAAATTCTTTCACAAAACAAATTTTTCATATCAAATCATAATATCAAAATTCACAAACTCAAAATATAACTCTATTCTCAAATCATATTTAGAAAACTCTACCAAACGCAACATTAGGGTCTCTAGCATTTTCCTAAATCTAATGTAACAATCTAACAACTCTATTTTAACATGAAAAATGAAATCCACCCGATATGCCAAATGCTAAGTTGACATTTGATATGAACTTAACATGTCAAATTTGACATCTTTCATATTGATGTCAAATGTTGAGTTCACCAAATAAAATAATTTCTTTTTTAAAAATAATAAAATAATAGATTTGACATATTAGATAAAGAGTTTCTTTGTCAAATTGACATATACCAATTTGACACCAAATTTTGAAGGGTTGGGTAGAGATGCTTAGATGACAAATTAACCTATGTTAATTTGACATCTCTTGAAAGTCTCCAACTTATATGTAAAATTTTATTATTGAAAGATGAATTAAAATATTATTTTATTTCTAAAAAAAATACTATAATTAAATATTTGACATAAGCTAAGGAACAAAAATTTGAGATCAAATTTAATTGTTAACGTGCCATGTAAGATTTGACATATCAGTTGGAGATGTTCTTAGACCCACAAAAAACTCTCACAATTTGACTCACATTGAGAGGTGGACAAATGTCGAGCCGGCTGACACTACATAATAAAAGACTATGTTTGCCCAAATCCGGTCCAAAAAAATTATAAATCTCAAGCCCACTCATTGGGCTATATGTTAAAAAAAAAATTAAAACATTTCATACGTAAATTCAATTAAACATTATGTTTCTTAAATAAATATATTGACATCATTATAAATTGAAAGATTTATTATATAAATTCAATTACACATCATAAAAAATGTGAGTTTCAATAAAATCAACAAAGATAAAATCTAGATCCCAAAATATATATATATTTTAATGTATTATAAATAATTAATTAATTTAATAAATCTCAAACCCAACCAATTGATACTTCGGACTGAAAATATTAGTCCAGTTTGGCCTTATGGACTAAAACAACCTTCCCAAGCCCTAGAAAAGTAGGGTTGAGCCAGGCACGCTACACGAGCCAATGGGTCGATGTCTACTCCTACACAAATGTAGTATGATAGGTTTCAACTTTTAATTAGTTATGCACCCAAGAATATAAGGCCTACCTTCCTTATCACATCATTGTAGGTGAATTTATAGATATAAATTGTGAGTTTCTGAGAGCATGTTTGTTTGGACAGACTGGATAAGAGGGGATTGTAAACCATCGGACTGTTAGTTTTGGGATATATTGTCCCTGAACTATTTAGTTGGACTGGATTTGTATCCTATGTCTGGATTAAACTATTTTTAGTAAATTCAATGTTTGAATGGACGGACTGGATAAAGATAAATGTTCAAAAGATTATTTTACCCTTGTAATTTTTAATTTTTATTTAATATATAATTTTAAATTTGTAATCTATAATTTATAATTTAACAACACTAAAAAAAATTAATTTATAAGGCCATAATTTTTAATTTGGACGGACTGGATAATAATTAATGTTCAAAAGACTATTTTACCCTTGTAACTTATAATTTATATTTTTTATTTAATATATAATTTTAAATTTGTAATCTATAATTTATAATTTATAATTTAACAACACTAAATTTTTTTAAATAATAAGGCACTAATTTATAAATTATTATTTTTAATTAAATTTAATTTATAATTTATAATTTTTATTTTTATTTTATTTAATATATAATTTTAAATTAACAACACTAAAAAAATAATTTATAAATGTTCAAAAGATTATTTTATCATTTTTCAATTGTTTATTAAGTAATAGCATAAGGATAAAATAGACATTTCACATATTAGTCCCATAGAATACCAATCACATGGAAATAATCCCATTGTCCCCCTAGGATACAATAATCCCTCATATAAAGGACTAATAGTCCGGAGAGACTTTTAATCCGGAGCAAAATAATTGAACCAAACAACGGACTATTAGTCCAAATCACATGGCCCAATCCTTCAAAAACAAACACCACCTTACTCTATATTTTTTTATAAAAAAAAATTATTTCAATTTTATCGTTTAAATTATTGTCATTTTTTATATTTAATTCATAAATTATCAATTCCATCTATTTAATTCATAAAATTATCAATTTTTGCTAATATGATTTAGTTGGAGATGATTGTCGCATAGTAAGGCCAAGTTTGGCATACTTCAAATAATCTATCTTTTTATCTTTTTTCCATCACATCACCTCTCTACTTTTCTACACATCTTTTCATAAAAAGACAAAAAATACACTTATTTAGGGCATCCCAAACAACCCCTAACTATTAAAACCCAATTTGATATGTAAAAAATTATTTCAAAATTTGAATAATATAAACCATACAATCAAACACTTATTTTTGTTATAAAAACAGAAGGGAAAAAAAATAAAAAATAAAAAAGAGAAGAAGAGTCCTTGGCTGCATGATTTAAATAAATTTTCTAAAGCGTAAACTTCATAAAGTTAGATTTTCACCATTTATTGATTTAGGAAATTGGAACATGCGAATTGAAATAAAAAATTTAGAGACTAATACTGTGTTTGGTTGAGGGATTTGGAAAGGGAAAGGAAAAGGAAAAGGAAAAGAAAAAAGGAAAAAGGAAAAGATGTGTAAAACTAGGTAAAATAAAGGTATATTTTACTCACATTTCACCTAACTTTTCATTTTCCCTTTCTAAATCCTTCCTTCAATCCCTCAACCAAACACACCGTAAATAGATAAATTAATAGTTTTAGAATAAATTTGAGTAAATGACTAGTTTAGGGGATAAAAATAAAATTAATTATTAATTTATAATTTTTTTTTGTTGTCTAATTTCATTTATTTAAATTAATGACGAAATAAAAAAAAGTAATTACTAGTGAGAGTATTATGTGAAATTATGAAATTGCCCTTCTACTTTCGCATTCTTCTCGTCCCCTTCCACTCTCTCTAGCTCAGGCAATCAAGTGCAAGTCAGTGCCACTCGTGAACAAAGTGACAACTCGTGGATACGTGAGAAATGCACACAAAATAGCGTGGAAGTAAGCACTTGCCACGTTGCACAAGCCCGCCTCCCTCCCTCTCTTTCTACACCACCCAAAAATAAAATAAAATAAAATTATAGCAGATAGCATTTGGTTAATCTTACTAGACAATTCGACCAACATCTGTTATAAAAACAATATATATCGATTGATAATTATTGATTGAATAAATATCACTTTAAAATAAAAAATTAAAAATGTTACATATTTAGAAAGAAACATAAAGTATTTAAAATTTAAAATACGTGAATCTAATTCTTTTTTACTACGACCCATACCAAGTTTAAATCTATACAATAAATTTAAATTTTTTTTGATATTTTTTAAATTCATAACATTTTTGAAAATTTTATAAAGATACATATTTGAATTACAACAATATCGTGCCAGCCACATCAATCTAATGGACCATACACTAGCTCCAGCTGGCATTTCCTGAGAGGCCACTTCTGCCATGTGGCAAAAAAGTGGGCCAGCCGTCCATATGATCCTCCACAATTTTCGTCCACATAAATAATGCATGGTTCTCAAAAAATATGCAACCATTCTTTGAACTAGAGAAACAAATACAACAATTTTCTTTCCTCGCTTCTCTTCCATGTTCATCAGTTCACTACTGAAACTATTAACTTTGAAATAAATGCTCAGGCTAAATGTGTACTGCTCTTTAGTGCCTGGACCAAGACAAATCAAGATTGGAAGCAGATTTGCTTCATGGGTAGTTCAGTATCACAGAGCACAGAAGTTACCTCAGAGGATTAATGCTGTAAATGATGAGATGGATGGAGGGACTAGCGGATTACCTCGTCCGAGGTGGGACCCTGGTCTGGAATTCGAGGTCCCTTTTGAGCAAAGGCCGGTATGTCCACCTGCAACTTCACTGTATAAGACTGTGTTTGGATCTTGAATTTGTAGGACTTTTTTTTCCCTTCCCCTTTCTTTTCCCATTTTCCTCCACAAATCTCTCTGCAAATCCAAGATTCCGAGTCTATGTTACACTAATTCTTTCCACTAGATGTAAAAGCAGAAAGAATGATGAAATAACTGGCTTATGTTACTCAAATAAGAATTTTTGCTTCACTGGTCCAAATAGAAAAAGTAAGATTTGGTTTATGCAGTCTTACAATCGACAAATCAAACTGATATTAATCTGGGTTCTATAATAGGTGAATGAGTACTCATCTCTGAAAGATAGTGTTTTATATTCATGGGGCGAGCTGAGTCCAGGTTCCTTTTTCCTACGTCTTGGAGGTCTCTGGTTGGTGACTTTCACAGTTCTAGGGGCACCAATTGCAGCTGCAAGCTTCAATCCTTCAAGGGTAAGAAAACTACTAGTTCAAAATAAAAAAAAGGGTAAGAAAACTATAAAAACATCCAGTGTAAATAAATATAGCAAGGACAAAATGAAGAACAGTGTATACCATATCTGTAACCAAGATTGAACTAAAAGTCACTCCCTTCATCTTTCCATTTCATAATTCATTTTTTTATGGTTTGAACAATCACATAGAACAATTCATGACACAAATGGTGAAATTCTAAAACCAGCACGACCAATGCAATCAAACAAAGTTTTGAAACTTTTTTCCTAAAAGATACTAAATAGTACCAGGAGCAGCAATCTCACATCTTAATATTTAAAGGCTATTGAGAAGGGAAATAAAAGGCTATGAGAAGAATGATATTGAAGTGCAAAAACATAATTGCATATAAGGAGATGATATATTGAGCAATTACATTCCCTCGACACTAAACATATCACAAGTTCTGTATAGATTACTTCTCAATACAATTTTTTTTTCAAATTCCTTAAAATTTCACGTATTGATTCTTGATTTGGGGTGATTCTATTTACACCCATCAAATTTTCTCACCACACCCCCTATGTGATAGCCCAGTTCCCCGTGCATGTGAGAGAGAGCTGGATGAGGTGAGAAAATTGGAAGGTGTAAATAGAAGCACTCCATTGGCTAACAATGTGAGTATGCTTGTAGCATTTGGTGAAACACGATGATGATGCTATTCAAATATCCTAAATTATCTATTCCTAATTCTGCAGGAACCTCTACGATTTGTTCTTGCAGCTGGAACAGGAACCCTTTTTCTTGTGTCACTAATAGTCCTTAGAATTTATCTGGTATCTTCTCCTTCATGTTAAAGCTATTTCATTACTGGAGTGTATGAGCCACTTGTGCAGAGATGACCAAAGAGAACTTTTCCAAGGAAACTATTTCACAAGTCGTGCTAAATGGTTTACACATAAGATTAGAATGGCTGAACTATTTTAATCCAGAAAACTATTATCAGAATATTGCTAATTTGTTTTCCTTTAATCTCTCTTTCTCGTTGCGAAATATTTGATCAATTATTTTCACTATCAACAATGATTTCCCCACTCGTCAACATGTATCAAAAGATGACTTTGTTCCAATTATAGTAATTTAATACAGGGATGGGATACAATTTTATCAAAGCTTACTAGCCAACAAAGGAGATGCATGCATTTTCAAAATTTCGGGTTGAAATTCAAATTTGTGCTGAACAAATTAAGATTTCCATGACGTTGAAAATGCAGTCCTTTGTAGTTTTCTTAGAAGAGGCATCATGCATTAATATAAAACCTTGATATAAAGCGAAGGCGTAATGTCATATCCAGACGAGATGCCAGGAATGTTGCTTTCTGAGCTAAGGGGGAATTAAGCTTCCTCATGTAAGCATGTGCGTGCATGAAGCAAGCCTATGTGCTAATACTCAATGAGTATACCACAAAAAGTAGCAATCATACTTGTGACTAAATCATGTTTCTATTTGAATAATGTATTACTATGGAAATTGTTTCTTCACAACACTGATTGAGCTGAGCTCAATGTTCATTTAACAAAACATCAATAATTTTAGGTTCATGGTTGTCTTGGTATAACTTATTTTTAAAATTTTGCATCTTGCAGGGATGGAGTTATGTTGGTGACAGACTTCTATCAGCAGTGATACCTTATGAAGAAAGTGGATGGTATGATGGACAAATGTGGGTAAAACCGCCAGAGGTTAGTACCCTTTTTATTTAATCATTTATACTATTCTTCATGAGGGTTGGATTGGAGACCTAAAGTCTGTGTTCCTTAAATATTCTTATACATAAAAATTAACTCAGGAACTGCTTGAATAAACGAGAAACACATTGTGATTGTTTTTGTTCTTTTTTTTTTTCTTTGTTCATATACTTTTCTCTTATAAGGTCTTTCCTGTGGTGACCTATAATCTTATTCATCAAGGGCGTCAACTAGTCAGAATCGGAAAGACATGATAGATAATACACTTTGGCTCTCTCTCTCTCTCTCTCTCTCTCTCTCTATATATATATATATATATATATGGAAGTGCATAGTGTGAGCTTTCAATTTTTATAGACATCACATAGCAGAAAATTTTCAAAGAAACATAGTATAGGGAAATGAACAAGGGGGGCAACTATGTCAGAGTAGGCAATTAATTACATAAAATCCTCTATAACAAGGTCACTTAATTGATGAAATAGGTAAATGCTAGTTGTAGACGTCCCCGAACGTCCCGGGAGAAATCTCGTTTTTTCCATTGGGCTCACTACAGTTCGGACTCAATATCACAGTCTTGTATCTAATCTCGCAGAGTGCAATGCAAGACCTATGAATCATCAAAGAGTCTAAATCCGGCAAATCGTATTGAAAAACTGATTTTTAGAAAAAAGTGCCAAACATGGACTGCTTTGCCAGATACAGAGTCGCCACCTAAATATTTAATTTTGGGGGAATTTAGGAAACCCTGACTCGTGCCTAAGGCCACGTGTCCGTCATCACCAAAGTTGCCTTGGCTCGGGAACTTGGGTACGATTGGGGAAGGTCACTTCGTGAGCACCCCCGCTCGCCCAATCAAAGATCGGCATCTACTAACCATGATATCGAGTTTTGAAAACATTATGTGCTCTTATTCCGGTTATTAGCCTAGAATTACTATGTGATGCGCACAACATACAAGTATAGACTAGATTGTCTAAGTTGGAACAAAGCATTGCATATCCGATTGTTTTGAAAATGGATTGAAGTTTGCTACTCGCAAGTAGGCTAAAACACGGGTTTCGACGAATTATTCCAACTCAAGCAACCCATCCTTCACTAACAGGCATTCAGGCAGTTATATCAAATAAGCACATAGCCTCATGGTAAGCATGCTATCATGGCAGTCACTCACACACATGCAAGGATGCTAACCGAGTACTCCAAGCCAAAGAAAGAAACTAATTAGAAAACATGCATGAATCCTAACTATGCTAAGAATGCCTAATGCAACACATGCAAAAATGTAACTAAGATAGGCTCGGCTATTCTAAAATGGCATATGAAATGCAACAACTGATACACGTATTCAACTCGGAATTGAAATACAATGCAGTTAGTATGATGCGTTGAGCCCGGTGCATGCGAGACAGATGAATGGATGCAAACATACGAGCATAAGGATGCTAATTTAAACGTGCCCTAAAACTAACCATCATAAGTTGGTAAATAAAAGGAAGAAAGACGTGGGATTGGAAGACATACATCACATACACGCACACTTATTACAACATTGCCCTCCTCGGAGGGTCCGAATAAATAATATACAATCGAATGAATAACGAATTACAGCTAATTATTACACAACCCTAATTAATTAACAAATTAACTAAAATAAATAAGCTAGCATGCAAAACATATGAAATGGACTGCTTCAGCTCGGTCTTGAATGACAAGGAATCCATGCATGCTCGAGTCACCTTGCCGGAAAATCCATCGCGATGCCCCGATTTGCCTCTGTTTGCAACTGGTCCCAGAACACTGTACAAAACTCCAGAAAGTTGAAACTCCACCATGCTGTAGGGATACTACCGACCAGTTTTTGCTGCTGGCTTCCGGCTTGCTGCAACAGAGAGCAAAAAAGGGACATGGCAAAGTATTTTCAACATATGTGTGCACGACCACTCTCCCCTTCATTGCATGAGCTCTAGGGAGTGTAGTCCTCGATTATCGTGCCACCAATTATGCATCTCGATGCATGATGGCCGAGGAGTCGGATTGCATGACTCAATGTCAAATGGATGCACAAATGAACACAATAAGGCCTAAACTCCATCATGGGTAATCCGAAGTCTCGGTGGCTGAGAATCGAGACACGTTTCATCACTTGGAGTACGAAACGTCCCTCGTTTCTCGTGTCTGGACTAAACCCTACTCCAAACACAATGCAATACACATGGCATGCATGAATGCAACTCTAACATGCAACATAAACATAATGCTACTAAATGATGCAAACATGCAAATGATGATATGCAAACATGCTACTAGCATACACAATGCTATGAAATAATCAATGGCATACTCAATGCACATGAAAACTATATGGCATACGCAATGCACACATGGAGACTAATAATGAAATGATCAAGGCATACACAATGCAATGGTCAATCATGCAACAACATGGACTAAATGGCATACACAATGCAAGATGGACTTAAACTAAAATGAATGGACCTCAGCCACACTCAAATCAGTGGCCAAACATGATGAAATTAAAGGCAGGAACACTAATACAAACATGCCCAATGCAAGGGACCGAACTTAAGGCATCAAATGCCACTCTACAAAAGCATGGCAAGGGATGAAATATGGCATACAATCATACATTTTTCAACTCTGAAATGACATGCAAGATGGTCCCAAATCATGCAAACACCTCACACAATGCATGCTAGATGGCCCGAATACCGAAACTAGTGAAGCGCATTACACTAGAGGTACACAAAGCAATGCACAAATGACAAAACCAGCCCCAAATAGACCCTAGGCAGGTCCAAGATAGTGGGAAAAGTGGACTAAAATGATGGCTCGAAAGGCATGGAAATGAAGCTCATGTAATAATCAAAAAACGAGGCATACAAGCATGACTCTCAAACGCATTTAAAGAGTGAAAAATATGGAAATATGGCATACATGTAAGCTCTGAAATATGATGCACAATGGTCCCAAAACATGGAAATACCTCAACATAAGCATGCAATAGGCTCCAAAACTCAAAGCTAGGCAAGGGTATTGAACTACAACCATACATAGCAAGCATCATTCGACCATGAGGCATAAAAACGGAGCTAAGGTAGTCCAAAACATGCACAAAATCAGTTTAAAGCATGGCCAAAAGTGCTAGAATCAAAGGCCAAAATAGCATGCAATATAAGCTAGTAAAGAGGATTTGCACTACAAGCATGAGAGGCAATCAAGAGGTCACCAAACCAGCAAAATCCAGAGGTATGACATGCCAAATAAAACCCAAAAAATCACTGGAACATGGTCTATGCATGCAAGAATGATAGGCTCCTTTGATAGGCTATAAAGAGGGTTGTTCTACACATGCAAGATGGACTCCCAAAATGGAAAAATTAGCTCTGGACAGAGCCTATGTAGGTCCTAAAACCCACCAAAAATGGCCTGAAACATGGCTTGGAAGCATGAAAATAAGAGCTCCTTTGTTAGGCCAAATATGCTAGTAAACAAGACAAGGGGTGAGAGGGTCGCCCCTCTATGATTTTGGGGCTCAAAACAGCATGTAAGAGACCAAACAAAGGTCAATGCAAAGGCCCTAAGGCATGTCTCAAAATAAGATGAAATGAAGCATGCAAAGGGGATAGATGACCTCCAACAGCAAAACGGTCTTAAAGAAACATGTTAAGGACCTCAAAATAAGACTTTTTTCAGTTTATGACAAAGCCCAAACATGCTTTCAAATGTAGCTAAAAGATGAAGCAAAATAAAGACCAAAAGGGAGAAAGTGTGTTACCCTTGTAGCTCAGCAACTCCAGCAGCTTTTGGACCAAAAATGTAGCTCCTCAACCTTTGAAAAAGGTCTCCAAGAAGCTTAGGTTGGTGTTAGAGGGGTTAGGCTAGGAGATGATGTGCAAAGGGCCAAAAACTTCACACTTTCTAAGCCTAAAGGGAGAGATATAGAGGGAGATAGATGTATATGCCTTAGAGAATTTCAGAACCTTTTGCAAGGAAGAGGAGGGCCTTTCTTATAGAGATATAAGGCCAAAGCTTCCTAAAGAAGCTACAAGCTAAGGCCAAAGATCCTCCATATGGAGGATGCAGTCTGTGCCTCCCAGCTAGCACAGCTGGAATCAACTCACTGAGACAGAACTGGAGGGAGTAGGCCGAACAGTTCAGGTGGTCGGCCAGCCACTTTAGGTGGTCAGCTAGCCAGTTCAAAAGGGTCAACTCAACAAAAAGTGGTCGGCAGCCCCATTTGGTGGTCCCCCAACTGAATGCAAGTTAGTGGTGTGGTGGGAGACCAGCAATTTTGGCCCAAAAATGAGGGAGACCAGTTTTCTGTCAAGAAAACCAGTCGGCGGTAGAAAAGTGGTCTCCAAGGAGAAAAGGTGGTCTCCCACCCTTGTACTACCTTCCAAACAATGAAAATAGGGTCCATGCCAAAAATGAACCAAGACGGATGCAAAATGAGGGTTCGGGGGTCAAAAAACGCAGCCGGGTGCCCCAAAAACAGGCTGTTAAGCATCGAAAGTGGCGTACGAAAACAAAGGTGGTCTCCCGGGCCACAGTGTCCCTCTAGAGAGAGGAAACAAGGTGTGTGCCAAAGTGTCCTTCAGGAAGAGAAAACAGAACCTGGTTCGTAAACCGAGGCAAAGCATAAAAGAGTCCCGAAGTCCGGAGGCAAGGCTCTCAGCCGAGACTCCGTAACCTGAGCACAACATGCGCAATCACCGAGTGCTCAATCGATGACGTTTGAGTCTTAAGTTCGGTTAAAAATGGAGTGTCTACAGTTGCCCTTCTTTGACTGAACTCGAAAGTCATAAGTGACGGGAGTGAATGTCAAAGCCCAGAGACGACCCATTTTTGACGAGGCCGAAGACTTAGACAAACAGGCGAGATAAACAAGACATGTGCCCGCAGGCAAGGACAAAATGCAAGAGACATGCACAAAGCCGGTCATAACTTATGATCATGCAAAGAAAGCTGTA